GCCTTCCTCGTCTTTATCCTCCTCAGCTGATCTCTCACCTGACAGGTAGTGAAGGACAAGCTGGAGCAGGGGGGCTGTGTGCTGGGGGGTGGGGGTGATGAGGTGGGGGGAGGAGTGGGGGTTGGTGAGATGTCCGGGGAGCGGGAGTGGGGGAGGTGTCGAAGCAGTGTGCCAGGAGTGTAGGTGGGGGGGAAGGTGAAGGTGAGGATGAGGGGGGTTGCAGCTGTGATGTCTGGGCCAGGGGAGGGGCAGACTGATCAAATCTATTGAAGAACAGATTCAGATCATTCACCCACTTCTGGTCACCTCTGGCCTGGGAGTCTGGTTGTTTGTGTCCTGAGATGGTTTTCAGACCTATAAGGCCCTGAGACACTGAGACAGTCAGCCATTTGGTCACAGTCGGGCCGTCACCCAAGCTTTTATGGTGTATTCTGCACCGTTGGCCCTCATCGGCCCTTATCGGGGTTTTTTCAGCCAATTCAGGATGTTGAAATGGCATTGGAGACAACAAGGCCTGTCGGTGAATGAAATCATTTCAGCTCAGTGCATGAGAAGAGAAATGGAGATGAGGAAAATAAACAAACAGCTAAAGTCAAGAGAGCATCAGCTTGGCACAAACTTGTTATATGAGGCAAGATTTTTTTTTTAGTAGCTCCTCAGTAGAAATGGTTCGGAATCATTTTTGTTATTGTTTGCTAGCTGTGGTAAATATGCTTTGTTCATTCAGCATGGCGTTGTGTTGTTAATGTGCTGACTGGCTAACAAGCCTTTTGAATCTGTCCTGTCGGTCTTCAGATTTCCCTTTTTTAATGACGAATACAGATCACCCCCCGCCTGCAGGCATAGAGAGTTATTTCCTCCCACGCAGGTGCAGAACACAGTTGGTTGCTAGTTGCTAGTTGGTTGCTGGCTGTTGTCCTTGCAGTGTGTTCAGGTGCAACTTTTGGCCATCACACAGTCAGCCTTCGTTGCCGCTAGTTCGTTGATGTTGATTTGGTTTGTCTGGCCCTTTAAGAGGAGTGTGTCTTGCACTTTAATTAAATAATCTTTTTTTTAAAGACACTTGGTTTTCCTTCTCTACGTTTCAGGAAGGAAGTATTGTGCTTGTTATTGCACAGGATTGAAGTGACATTTCAAAATCCCATAACTCATGAAATATTGTGAATATCTTTCATCTTTTCCTTCTTCTCCTTTCATTTCTTCACATTTATTTCCTTCCTTTTATTTCTTGCTTGAACTGACCTTGAATATGATAATCCCTTTAACTAGAGATAGATGGCTGTCACCCAAAACATTTTTTACTTAAACAAAAATTTGACATTATTTTTTGATTATCTGCTGTGTACTACGTGGTCGGTGTAGTTTAGCCTTTCTCTGATGTGTATGTGTAGGAGTCAGAACATTTACCATCTGATGCTCAAAAATTAATTTACAGATCACCATGAAGAGGCGGTCTCTTCTCTACATTGTCAACTTCTTACTGCCCATCCTGTTCTTCTTCTGTCTGGACTTGGCTTCCTTCCTGATCTCAGACAGCGGGGGCGAGAAGCTCAGCTTCAAGGTCACTGTGCTGCTTGCTGTCACTGTGATGCAGCTTATTCTCAATGAAATTCTGCCTTCCTCTTCAGACAGGATTCCACTTATAGGTAAAGAAGTCTAAGAGCCTAGAGCCATGCTAGTGACTTAAGGCTGTACTTAGGCAGTATGTTGCTTTTAGCTAAATGCAAACGTGCTAACATGCTAACATGCATGTTTGAAGTACAACTAAGGCTTATGGGAATGTCATTACATTTGCAGGTCATAAACAAAAGACACAACACAAATGTCAACCTCATGGTTGCACTAGAAGGAAAAAGTCACGTAGGAAAAAGCAAGCACTCTCAAAACTAAATACACTCATAAGGTGCATGGCCAGAAACAGTCAAAAAAGGAAAAACGCCAGCACTCTCAAATGTCCTTTTAGTTCAGTTTAATAACTCAGCTTGGATGGCTGGCGTTTTTCCTTTTTGCACTAGAAGGAAAGTCAGTGGATTGCCAAAGTATGTACAAACTTTCATCGTATTGCATCCAATAGTTGTTGAGACTTTTCAGTCTGGACCACAGTGGTGGACAGACCAGTTGACATTGCCATCCTTAAAGGAATACTCTGACGATTTGGGAGTTATGCCCTTTCTCTATCATTCTCATATTGAGAAAACATGATCGATATCTTTGTTGTGTCTGTACATCCAGTGGCTGGGTCTCAGTGGTTAGCATTGCAGTTTAGCTTAGCGAATAAAATTGAAGTCTATAGGGGGTCAGTAGCCTACTCGTAAAAGTAAACAAATAAACGTTACAGAAACCCTGAAGCTGGCATTTCTACACGTGCATTTAAAATAAACATGTTTAAACATTAATTTGAAAAACGAGAGTCCTTTTTAGTCGTTTTAGAAGAAGTTTGATACACGGAACTATAGTGTGTTTACGCCCTGGGTGGAGGAATACACCGGTGAGCAACAGCTGCAGCTGGCTCTGGGACAGGTACGCTAGGTCACTTGGTAAAAGCAAACAAAGAGACGACACGGACGATATTACTCACTCGACTGAAAGCTGTCCATCAGCTCCTGCAGGCCTGGGGTGATTTTTCCAGTTTATCTTAGGAACATGAAAAAATGTTTCAATCACGCCAGGATTAGTGATTGCTGCAAAGTTTTCACTCCTTGTGATGCACTCTCTGCGGCGGTTTTCCTCCTGATGATGATATATCTCTAGCCTCCCCAACAAAGATAGCACCGAATCCCATTCTGTGCAGCAAAATGATTCCACCTCCGTAGGCATAGGTTGGCAAGCCCTGCAGCTACACCACCAATCCTCCCCTGACCTCGGTCTCCCCTCGGCCCCTTGCTGTTCCACTGCCTCGGAGGATTCAGCCTCTCTTCTCGCCTGCTCAGCATCCAACACCTGGAGTTCCTCATCTGTATACTCCGGCTCAAACAGGTACGGCTCTGGATCTGTGTCCGCTACAAGAAACTCTTCAAAATCGCGTTCAAAGTTGTCCATTGCACCTACTATAGTCCGGAGACATTGCTAGGCTAAATAAACAGCTGAGTTTTGTTTACAGGCTACGTCTGTGCCTGTGCCTGCTCACCGGTGTATTCCTCCTCGCAGGGCGTAAACACGCTATAGTTCAGTGTATCAGACTTCTTCTAAAACGACTAAAAAGGACTCTTGTTTTTCGAATTAATGTTTAAACGTGTTTATTTTAAATACACGTGCAGAAATGCCAGCTTCAGGGTTTCTGTAACGTTTATTTGTTCACTTTTACCGAGTAGGCTACTGCCCCCTATAGACTTCAATTGTATTCACTAAGCTAAGCCGCAATGCTAACCGCTGAGACCCAGCCACTGGACGTACAGACACAAAAAAGATATCGATCATGTTGTCTCACTATGAAAATGATAGAGAAAGGGCATAACTCCCAAATTGTCGGCGTAGTCTTTTAAAGCCTTGCTAAAAAAAACAAGTAAATGTCAAAGTCCTTTCTTTTACTGTACTGCACTTTATAGGAACTTTAGCAGGAACACCACATATACTGACTCAATGTGTAATTATTTGTTTGCATTAACGATGTTGCCTTCCCCCTTCAGTGGTCTACTGCATTGGAATTTTTGCTCTTATGATGCTGAGCCTCCTGGAGACAATTTTGGTGATGTATCTGATGGAGAAAGACTCTTCATACCAAGACAACGAGTGCAGTGGTACAGAAGCTCCTCTGTCATAGTCAAATTGTTACTGTCATGTCCACCTTTACTTAACTTCCTTAATAATTTCTGTAAACAGTTTATGCACATGCATGTAGTGTTGACCTATCACATTTTTTTGTGTGGAGAGGCGGGAAGCATTTGCCAGAACGCAATCTCAGAGCCCACTGGCTATAGTCTGAGGACCAGTCTGCTTTCATATCTGCTCATAGAGATTAGCCGAAATGACCGGCACACAGAAGAGGAAGTCTTGGCTGGCTATGCTACATCAGCCCAAAATACTGGCCAAAGCCCCCAGAGGCTTTATCGTTGTCAGACAATAACCAGTGGCTTCCAAGATTGCTTTCTGAATACACTGAAGTGGGTATATTTATAACTTGAAATACTGACTGGATGTTTTGTGTCTGTCCCTCCAGAGGACAACAAATGGACTCCCAGTGATGCGTCTGTTGATGAAACTCCAATTAAACTGCTCAAGGTAGGGATTGCGTTACACTTTAAGGGACTGGTTCAGCCAAAATTACAAAAACATAGTTCCTTAAGGTAGTGGCACTACCTTTGGTTTTACTTGTCAAGATTTTGGGATTTACACCTCAGAAATTTCTACTGTCACCCTGATACTACGGTGGCTAAGAGAGAGGTGAACGTGAACACATATCTGACCACATAAAACACAATATAAAGCTGATTTACAACACAGAATTTTCCAGGGTGTACTGACTTTTCAGTGTCTCAGCACTCTAATGTACTGTACATAAAAATTGGTTTGTAATTGTGCTTTAAACCACTGACTGTAAAACCATGTCTGCAGGGTAGTAGCAGCCAAATGACAGAGGAGTCCCATGCCTCAGATGAGCTGAGGGAGGTGGTTAAAATGCTGGCTGTGCTCCTCAACAGCAGGAAGGAAGAAGGAAAGCCCAGCTACTGGACCAGAGTGGCTAAAACAATCAACAAAGTTTTCTTCATTTTCTATGTCATAGCTGCAGGTCTGTTTTTAGTCTATATGTTTTTCCACTGGACTGATGCACACGATAATGGTGCAACACGAGGACACATATAATTGAGATATGGTTCTCTTTGCAGGTACAAGCAAGACTTACTATCATACAAAATTTTAACTTTCAGTAGAAACCCTTCCCTGTGTATCTGACATGCACAAATGTATATGTGACTCCACGGCGGGTTAATGCATTTTTGATGATTGATCATTCCTGCATCATAAGAACTTTGCAGTGAGTAGTGTTTGCATGTTTTACACACTGCTACATATCTAACACATATACTTCGTATAATCAGTAAAAATCTGCTTGTATGCCATCAAATTGTTGCTCTAAATGCCTTCGATATGTGCAATTCAAAATCACACTGAAAATCAAAGTAAAACATTGAAATCACAAGCTGATCCAACTGTGTGAATTTTCTCAAGGCAACTCATGATGTGACTCAGTAGTGTGTATGGCCCCTACGTGCCTGTATGCACTCCCAACAATGTCTGAGCATGCTCCTGATGAGTTGGCAAATGGTGTCCTGGGGATCTCCTCCCAGAGCTGGATCAGGGTATCTGTGAGCTCCTGGATAGTCTGTAGTCAGCCTGGTTCCAGACCATAGACCCCGTCCACTCAACTGAGTAGGCTTGCATCTCTGGTCTGGCATACTGCAATGAATTCGCGATTTATTTCGTCCAAACGATGGACGGACCAATGAACGCCGGGGGTGGGGGCGGGTCTAGCGATTAGCCAATCAGCGCCACGCTGATGTCAAGCTGTACGCCGGTGGGTAACTGGTGAGGATAGCAACAATGGCGACCGCTACAGATCCTACAGACCATGACAATGAGGTATTTTGCCACTACTCGCGTTAATGGAGGACCAAATTAAGGAAGCTGCTAAACTGGATTTAACGGCGATGCAGCTGGGCGTGCACGACGACGGAGACATTTTAAACGGGCAATGCTCGCTTGTTTTTGGCACCCCCGAGGCATGGATACTGTTGGGAATAGAATGATGTTATGTGTTTTACTATAAGTTGTGTTTCACTATATAAGTTTTAGATGTGTGAACAATGAGAATACTGAGATGATTTCAGCTGATCTGAATGTGTTTGCTTTGCAGAAGTGGAGAAGTACAGGAGAGGAAGAGACATGAAGTCTGAGGAGCACATACCGCAATGCTTAGATAATTAATTTCATATATGGTAAAAAGAATAGAAAGTGATATACAGATAGTAAGGTACAGCACGTGTGGGGAGTTGTGTTGTTCTCTTGTCTTTCAAAACAGGAACCACGCCCCCACCGCCAGCGGGAAGGAGTCAGATTAACACGAGGCAGGGGCGTGGTGTGGTGAAGGAGGAAGTGGAACTGCCAATGAGAAGAGGACAACGCCTTGCGTGCACAATGACACTCTGTTACGCTCAAATATACTGGGTCAGGGAAAGGACAGGAGGTCAGACTTCGTGAACTGACACACCTTTGTTGTTCGTCAGGGACGTGAAGTTGAGACCCAGAGCTCTGTAATTTTATTCCTTTACTGCTTAATAAACTACATTAACTGAGACCGAATATCTTCTCCTATTGCTTCATTAAAGAACACGCAGGACTGAGCTCACACATAGCACATTAGAGAGTAGGATGAGACTCCTAGTCCATCAGTACTAATGACGTCAGATTCTGGGTGAGCCGTTGATCTCTACTGATTGGTTAGGGAAAAATCAAATTCCCTCCCCCTTGTAAATCGCCTTCAATGGAGGCAATGTCAGACTGAAGGTTCTGAGAGCTTCAGTCTGACGCTCAGGCTAGTCTGTAGTGGTACTTTGTGGCGTCGGATGCATCAGTACATAACGTCCCATAGGTGTTCAGTTGGATTTAGGTCAGGGGAACGAGAGGGCCGGTCAATGGCATCAATGCCTTCATCATCCAGGAACTGCCTACAAACTCTGGCCACATGAGGCTGGGCATTGTCCTGCACCAGGAGGAACCCAGGGCTCGCTGCGCCAGGAGGAACCCAGGGCCCACTGCACCAGCGTAAGGTCAGACAATCACTTTCAGGATTTCATCCCTGTACCTAACAGCAGTCAGAGTACTGTTGGCAATGACATGGAGGTCTGTGCGACGCTCCAAGGGTATGCCTCCCCAGACCATCACTGAGCCACTGCCAAACTGGTCGTGCTGGATGATGTTACAGGCACCATAACGTTTACCAGGGTGTCTTGAGACTCTTTTACACCTGTCACATTCACTCATTGTGAACCTGCTCTCATCTGTAAAGACAACGGGGCGCCAATGGCAGATCTGCCAATTCTGGTGTTCTCTGGTGAATGCCAATTGAGCTGCACAGTGCTGGACTGTGCAGCACTGTGCAGCACTGTGCACAGTGCTGCACAGTGCTGGACTGTGAGCACAGGTCCCACTAATTTATTTTAATTTTATGTTCGCCTGATTCAGTTGTTATTGCAGATATCTGCTGTTAACCTAGCGTTAGCCTTTTGTTTATGGTTAGCCTGGAAATTTTGATTATCTGATGAAATACATTAATTATGCAACAGGCTAACATTATATTTGCTTCCTACAGTTACTTTTAGAATAGTCAAATTGGGATAGTTGCAAATTGTTTAACTAATGGTTAAAAACAAGTCAAAATAATTTGCAGTTTGATGTCATGAATAATGTTGAAAATGTATCGACCCTCTCTGTAGCTTATGAAAGAACTGGCAGAAGTCAGTAATTAACTGATAAACAAATTAAGAAAAGTGATGGGGTTAATTTTATTTGTCATATCAGCAAAACCTACCAGTAATTTGTTTTGCTTGTCCTCTATCACTGGCTCTTAAAGAAACTATTAACATTATAGCCAGCTAACGTAACATTAGCCTGTTTCATATTTAATTAAGAAACTAAACAGCCACAACAGTGAAAGACAAAATTAACAGCTTTTGATTTGATAGCAAAGTTGATCCGCCAGGGTCATTCCTATGTTTCCAGGGTCCCATGATCTCCAGGTCTGTATGGCACATGAAGAGAACAAGACAAAAGGTCTTTTGTTCCCCAGTTCTAGTTCTCCCAGGGACCTATCTTCCCAAGATCCTATGTTTCTAGGGTCCCATGATCTCCAGGTCTATAGATATATACAGTACAGGCCAAAAGTTTGGACACACCTTCTCATTCAATGCGTTTTCTTTATTTTCATGACTATTTACATTGTAGATTCTCACTGAAGGCATCAAAACTATGAATGAATACATGTGAAGTTATGTACTTAACAAAAAAAGGTGAAATAACTGAAAACATGTTTTATATTCTAGTTTCTTCAAAATAGCCACCCTTTGCTCTGATTACTGCTTTGCACACTCTTGGCATTCTCTCCATGAGCTTCAAGAGGTAGTCACCTGAAATGGTTT